TCCATCGGAACGTTGATAACCCCACCATTGGAATGTCCTGGACGCCCCTGTACGTTATATAAGCTGTTGAACGCCACTGAAATGAACAGACACACTGGGAAAAGTAAACGTCACAACCCCATTATTGCGAGGTCCTAGAAGAAAGTATGAGCCGCAGCCAGTTGATCCTGGCTCGCTGAGGAGGTCCCATGACGAAGAGGGAGTATAACTGATGCGAGAGTCGGTGGAATAGACCGTCAGGCCATATGTAGATCGGACGAAAAGAAAGGCAACCGCCTCGACTGCAGCCAGTACCTTGAAAGGAGCGAGAAGGCTCAGCGAGTGCATTGGTGTTGAGTGGATGTTGGCCAAGAAGAAAGAGGGTATGGTCGGCATTATTTGGACCATTTTTATACCTCGAGCTCAGAACATGACGAACGCCAGGCCAGTCATCCAATATCCTCAACCCGAATAAGACGGAGTGATGTGCAACACAACCTGCATCAAGGGCAAGAACGGGCAGAATAGAAACATCAGCGTAAACATGAGAAACGAGCGCTCACAGGGTGACCGACATCGCCGAACGTGCTACATGGACAAGAGCGCTGTGGAACTAAATTGGGGGAGGAAGGCGACGAGGAACCGTCGTCTGATACCTGAGCGATAGGGTCAGGCTATCTAGAAGTTTAGAAGCTGTAAATCAAGGCCAGGCGGGCAGAAGATCAACATCGGCACAAGCACATGAGCAGGACGACCGTTTTTCAGCCGCGCCCTTCACCCATGTGCACACTTTGAGTACCTTAATCTCCGCTGGGCGATAAACGAAGCTCTTGATCCGTGAAGTGGGCGCTTGAGCACCAGGTGTCACCCAGGAATGAACAAGCTGAGGGAGTGTTATTACGGTAGCAGGCAACGTTTTGTTGTGTCGTAATCTGTCGCCAGCAGTGAGATGGGAGGATGAAACGGTTGTCGACGAGACGACGTGTTGGTCGTCCCTGGAGCCGCGTAAGTGGGGTCCCTACCTGATCATGTGACTCCGCTGTCACGTCCACCGCGTGGACCCTGTCGTGTGTCAGGGCATCTCGTTGTGATAACACCCAATATCCACATGTTAAGTTCATGAAACAAAGACAACAGAGAAGAATGTCAGGATGACAGGCTTGTCTGACAACCCGGAACCCACGCTCGACGGATGCACATTTTAACTAATGTATGGATTGCTTTCCGCCGCACTCGCGCCCAAATTGCGCTCTGCAAAGCCCATCATGTTCGCGGTGTAGTGGAAAGCCAGATAGTACTTGTAGAAGCATGGCGTTCCGGTGACCCAGGTAGGTATAGATCCTCCGTCATTCGCCAATGGGTTGCAGAAGCCGTTCCCGTTGTTGCTTGACGTGTCGGCGAGATCAAACGTGTAGTCGCGGTTCTGTGAACCGTAGAAATTCCACGTCATAGTCGACTCGCAGGGGATCAGGTAGTTCCCATTACTATCGGGGCCTTGCGCACCGAGCAGGGACATGAGTATGAGCCAGTCATCGTGGGGAAGGGTGAGGAGGCCCGGATCGCCGGTGTCGAATAGGAGGATGGGATGATTGAATAGATCGGTCGCATCAATCGCACTGGAAAATGAAGATGCTTGAACGATACGTTGGCATGCGGGACTTTCCCATTGTCCTTGTGGATTCATCTGATTCCAGTCGACCTCGCCCGTGAACTTATTTGCATCGAGGCCACCAATTGACCCTTCCGATGAGACACCAGGTGGAACTCCCTCTGAGCCGTCTAGTTGGTAGAATGCAATGACAGCGTTGACGACGTCTCCTTGCATGTACATGTTCTCTAAGAAGTTGTTGTATTCACCACCATTACATTTGGCGTATGCGGACTTGGCCATGCCGAAGTTTCCATCGAGACTCTCACTTGTTGGGATTTCGACGGAGGCACCAAAGGTCGTCTTCGCGATTGTGTTATCACCCCAGGTCACGCTATCAGTCACCCGCCATGAAACTAGAGTATCGTCCGGCCCGCCGTTGCCATAGATGGCTGTGTCCTGGATGCTGAGAGTTTGGAATCCAGGCCCACGGACGTATTTATTATGTCCAGCGCAGTTGTTCGAGTTGCACAGGTCTGATATGACCCAGACGTTCGGGTGACCAAAATCGAGGAGCACCTCCAGTGCAGGCGTGTTGCCGCCCAGAATCATCGGCGCATGATAGGCAAAACCAAGAGGTACCGATGAGATGAAGGTATTGGACGGAAACGTGGGAGCGAGAATGCTGCCGCCGAGGACAAATCGATCGACAGCTGTGCCAAGCCGCCATCGGAACGTTGGAACCCCCACCATTGCAGCGCTGTGGACGGATCTGAGCCAAAATGTAAATATGAAACAGGAGGATGAGATGAAAAACGAACAGGGGAATGTGACTTTGACAACTCCATTGTTACGAGCACCAAGAAGAAATTGGGTACCACAGCCAGCAGAGCCTGGCTCATCCAAGACAGACCAAGACGATGACGGTGAGTGAATGACTTCTGAATCTGTCGAGAAGACGATGTAGCGACCCCCGGAGGGCTCGTAATTGTCCAAGATGAACCGATCAACTGTCATCTGGCCGAACGCGTTCACCGATTGATCTTCAATGTTTGTCATTACAATCATGTGGATGCTGTTCGACAGCCCATCAATGTTCGCGAGCAGGCGAGGGTTTTCAGAGCCGTTAGTAGAGGCGTTGTAGTACGAGTACTCCTGGCATGCACCGCCATCAATACATATTTGAGCCACGTCTCCATCGGACCTCTGATACCCCCACCCCCACCATTGGAAAGTCGTGGATGGCTCTGTGTACTCTATCAGCTGAATTTAAGTGCGAATGAATCTGGCATACGAGGGAACGTGAACGTTACAACGCCATTGTTGCGAGGTCCGAGAAGAAAGTATGACCCGGGGCCAGTCGAGCCTGGTTCCCTGAGGAGGTCCCAGGACGAAGCCGGGGAGTACGTGATGCGCGGATCTGTCGAAAAGACCGTGAAGGCTTGGGTGCAATGAGCGAAGAGAACCGCCGTTGCGCCAAGCGCAGCCAGTCTGTTGAAAAGAGGGACCAAGCTTAAGGAGTGCGTTGGTGTCGACCGAGCGTTGTCGAAAGGGAAACACCTTGCGGTCGACAGACGGTAGACCGATAGTTGTCCGGAGCATCTTATACACACGGAGGAGCATGTACGCCAGTCTCAGTCAGCGACATTGTGCCCGACCCGGACAGAAGGTCGTTATATTGTTCTCCGACATCCTTTCCACAAGAGCAGAGGGAACGGAAGGTCAAGACCAACGTAGACAATATTGGAGGAAGGCAGTCGTTCGCATCGCCAGCGCTTGTCGGGGAACGTGCACGTGGGCTTGAGCGGAGGTGATTCAAGATCGGAAGCTGTAAGCCGAGATGGATGTTATCGCAGAAGCCGCCAAAGTAGAGT